TCAGCTCAGACATTTGGAAAGCAAAGCCTGGCTTAAAGTGAACAGAGAAAAATCAAACATGATAAACTGTCAGTCCTCAGTTTCCTGCCAAACACAGGCCCGTAGGAGAAAAGCTGCCCAGAGCTAAGAGCACATGTGGCTGGTGGTGGTTGTCCCCTTCTGTCCCCACCCACACGAGCTTAGCTCTTGAGTGTCCTCTGTTCTCTCTGGGGGTCTAAGCTTCCAAGTATCTCACTCCCCCACTTCTTCCCTACTCTAGGGCTCCAGAGGATCCACGCCCTGACCACTCAGGCTGCCTATGAGCTACACGTGGACCTGGAGGACTTTGACAATGGCACGGCCTATGCCCGCTACGGGAGCTTTGGCGTGGGCTTGTTCTCCGTGGACCCCGAGGAAGATGGGTACCCACTCACTGTGGCGGACTATTCAGGCACTGCAGGTAGGGCTCCAGGCACTCCAGGGGGTAAGGACGGGCAGGGGCAGCCCACTGGCCTGCCCACCTAGGAGCACAAAGGAGGCCCAGGTCAAGTACTGCTGCCCTCTGGGGTCAGGATCAAGGCTTCTCACTCCACCTTCAAGTCCCACCTGGTACTCATCCCAGCAATGTGAAGCCAGCTGGGATTGTTCACCCATTTTGCAAAGCGGGTGAACCCAGATGAGCAAAGTGAGCCCACGGCCAAGATCAGGATCTGGAGTCTGGCCTCAGGGGGCCTCTGCAGTCTGGTGTCTGAATCTCCCCGGGCTGGGATTCCCCTCTTAGGCAGAAGCAAGAAAGGAGTGGGTAGAAAACTGGGAGGGTTAGCGACCAACCACCTGGACGCAGGGACAGCCATGGGGGCCCCCAGGTGGCACTGGGAGGGTGTTGGGCAGTTGCGTGCATTGGTGTGCATAGGGGGGCATTCTGCACATGTGTGCTTGTATACCCAAGGGTGCGTCGTGCACACAGAGCTGTGCTCGGACGGGGGCACACACCTGAATGTGCGTGCCTGTGCAGGGGACTCCCTCCTGAAGCACAGCGGCATGAAGTTCACCACCAAGGACCGCGACAGTGACCACTCGGAGAACAACTGCGCCACCTTCTACCGCGGCGCCTGGTGGTACCGCAACTGCCACACGTCCAACCTCAACGGGCAGTACCTGCGCGGTGCACACGCCTCCTACGCCGACGGTGTCGAGTGGTCGTCCTGGACCGGCTGGCAGTACTCCCTCAAGTTCTCCGAGATGAAGGTCCGGCCGGTCCGGGAGGACCGCTAGATCGGTGCGCCTCCGACCCCGCGCCGCCCCAGCCCCGCCCCCAGCCGCGCCCCTGCCCCAGTGTCTGCCTGCCCGCGCGCATGGTTGACCGCCCTGGCGTGCTGGTGCGCCAGGCCAACTCCGACACTAAGCCCCTCTGGGCGGGTGAGGTTACACGGCACTGTCTCCACTGCCCCAATTTGCTCTGCCGATGAGGGGTGCCCCAAGCCTGACGACCCAGGCCTGCCTGAACTTCAGCTCCTGGGCCAAGTGCCGGCCCTCTCCTGACTAGGAGTCTGTCATGTGCTCCTGGCAGCCCCTCCGCTTGGCCAGTCCTGCCACCCGTTGCTGCAGGGAACCGAGAAGGGGCAGACAACACCCTTGGGGCCCTTTGATAAGAGGAAATGTTCAGATCTTTCTGAGTTAGATCTGAGGCCAGCCTCCTCCTACCCTCCCGGCCCCCTCCCTCACTTACACGCTGCCTGGGGATCCCACCCTCCCCCAAGGGCCAGGAGACTGGCTGTGGGCTGGGCAGTCGCATCCTGCCATGCCCCCAGGCCAGGCTGGGCACGGCTGCCTGCCAGGGCTCACATCCAGGGTGACAGAGGCTGGTTCCCTGGAGCACCCCCACCCATCCACCGGTGTTCCCCCAGGCCTTGGAGGTCCCCAGTCCCCTTGTCTGCTGTGCCCAGCCTCCTGCCTTCCTGAAGCAGCCAAAGGCCCACCGCATTTGCCTGCCCGAGGAGGGCGGCACAGGACCTGCACCACCGGGCGGGGCAGGGCCAGTGAGGACCTCATGATTTTCTGGGCTGCAGCAGGGCTTGTACCACCCCCACCACCAATCCCCAGGGACTGTGGGATCCCGGGGACCTCCTGGGAGCAGGCCTGGTGGGTGGGGGCTGGGCCCAAGCTGTCAGTGGCCATTACCCCATCAGCCCAGAGACTGTAGTCTGGGGGTGGGGGGGAGGCCGCCCCCTGCTGGTGACTCTGGGTGCTGCCACCTCTGTCCAGGGGGAGGAGGCCTTACAGGACAAATGGGGGAGACTGAGCTTCACCAGGTACAGACATTATCTCATTGAATCCTCAGTGCCCGACGTACTCTTACTGCTCCCCGACAGAACTGCAGGTTCCCCAAGGTCAGCAGCCAGGCGGGGTGGGGCTGGGACACCAGCTCAACAGACTGGGAACCTGATGCATTTGCCTTCCAATCCAAGCACAGGACTGTTTTTCCAAGTTCCCGCTTGTAGGGAGCTGATGAGGGTCCAGGAAGTCAGCCTGGGGGCTGCCCAGTGGCCCCTCCCCTGCCCTGCGGGGGTGCAGGGTGTCCTTACAGGACACTGAGGGCAGCTGAAGGCAGGCAAGTGGGGAGCGTGGGTTCAGCTCTCCCTTCTGCTCCCACCGAAGCCTGTGCTTCAGTGACAATAAGGCAGAGATGGCAGGGGCAGCAGGAGAGGCCCAGAGTGCCACCGACTAGCCATGTGGCCTGCCAGTCTCCTCCAGCCCCACCTGGTGGTCCACGTTCAGCAACGTCTCGCTGGTCATCTGCTCTGGGCCAACGCCTGTCCTGGGTGCTGGACAAGATGATCCCTCCCCTCTTGAAGCTTGAAGCAAAGAAGGCCAAGAAACAGGCAATCAGAGTCCAGTGGTCAAGTGAGGGTGCAGCCCAGGCGCAGGCGGGGCTGGAGCAGGGTCGGGGGAGAGGTATGTAAGATGGCCCACATGACTCAAAGGGCAGCTCCCCTGCTGGCCCCCTGTAGGACCCCGAGTCCTCATCCCAGGGAGCCCCCTTCTCCCCAGCGGCCCCAGGCTGGAGCAGCTTTTGCTGCCAGCCCTGCAGTGCCAGGCTGTTTAGAAAGTGCCAAGAGCTTTCTGATCTGTCATCAAACAAACTCTTGGTGAGTGTGATGTTAATGGCTTTGCAGATGTGCGTGCGCGTCAGGGCCTGGCCATGGAGCAGACTGCGGGGATGGGTGAGGGGGCCTTCAGGAGTGTCCTACAGCCTTGGGACACCTGTTCTCACCAGAGCACCAGCCCCACGCCCAGCCAGGCCTGGCACCACTGGGGCATGGAGCCGGACCAAACGCTGGCTGAATGGGCACAAAGCCCGTGATGGTGGGGACAGCCAAGGGCAGTGACCCTCCTTCCCTAAAGGGCACTCCTTCGAAGCCCACGGCCTATGTGAATGGCTGGCCTGTGGGATGGGGTGATGGGGTTCTGGGAGATCCAGTGGGGAAGGGCAACTCCACGACCTGAGGTTCTGGGGCTGTGGGCACCACGCCTGCCTCTGCCCCCAGGGGCCTGAGCCGGGGGCTTGACTGGGGGTGCCTGTGGCCTCGCTCTCCCATGTGACCTTACCAAACCCTCTCCCCTTTTCCTCTTTCCCTTGATGAGGCAAGTGAGCCAAGCAGGGGCAGGGGTCCCTACATGGGGGTCCCCGCAGGCTTCTGAAGTTCCTCCCAGCAGCACAGGTAGGTCTGTTGGAAGGGACAGGCCTCATCGCTTGCCCCCCAAACCATGGACCCATCTCCGAGTTCAGCACAAGGCTGCCAGTGGGCCGCCCAGGCTCCTGGGTCCGGAGAATGGACAGACCCTGGGTCTCCACTCTGACGGCCTCAGCGCAGGTGGCTGGGCGCTGAGAACAGAACCACGGAGGCCCGACTGTGGTTCCCCCGCAGCTGCGTGTAAATAGGTTCATGATGTTCGTCCTGGGGCCCATCTCCTCCTGATCCCCCACCCCCGACCGCCACCCGTCATCCATGCGGGTCTCTGGCTGGGACTGGAGCCCTGGAAGCTGGGAGCCCGTCACCCTGGATTCGTAGGATTAGTGAAGCATGCCAGCAGGAACTGGGGGAGGGGGCTTGCTGTGTCTGTGGATGGGGCGGGGGGCCGGGCGGGTAGGGGAACTTGAGCAAGGCCTCAGTCAGTGGCAGAGCTCTGTCCTGTGGAGTCTGGGGGCAGCACACCAGCAGGACACATTAGGGGATGCACCGAACCCACAACAAAGGACACTAGGCTTTGGTCCAAGTGCCCGGGGCCTCCCCAAGGCCTCAGTTTCTCCAGATGCTAGCAGGGAGAGGGCTGTCCACAAAACTCAAGTGGGCCAAGCAGCTGGCAGGACTTGGCAAGCCTGGAGGGCTGGGGCTGGGCCTTGGTGGGATGTTGCAGAGGCGGGAGTGGGGCCCAGCTCCGGGCTGAGGCTGGTCATGTTAGCCCCACTGCACAATGGGTGTGCACGACTGCAAAGGTCGGCCAGTGGAGGTTGGGGGCGGACAGGGAAGGGCTTGAGGGCCAGCTTATTGAGCGTGGACAGGGCATGGCAAGGGGCCAGCCTAGCTGTGTGTGCTGGGCGTCATGTGTTGTGTCTCCAATAAAGTCTCGTGATGACCCAGGCCTCTGCCTCTAGCCCTGCTCAGCACCCCCCAACGTACCATGGGCAGGGCCGACTCCCCCGCAGTCTGGGACTGCCTCCGTAAGAGTTCCCGGCTCCCCCCACCTGTCTGACGCCTTCTGGTGGGAAGTGGCATTTCCCAGAGAGCCCTGTGCCCGGCCCTAAGCCACCCAGGCTGCCCCTGCGGGGCAGATCCTGCAGGGGAACCTGGGCTTGCTCTATCTGTGCATCCCATCAGGTCCCCAGGGTGACACACTGTCCCTGTGGGTCTCTGCTGGCTGGGCTGGAGTCCTGAAGTGTTGAGACTCAAGAACAAACAGTCCCTGAGGGCTGTTTATTCATAGGGCCAGTCTGAGGCTTAAGGACAAACAATCCTGAGTTTACTTAATGGAATCCAGTATTTATCGCCTGCATTGGAGACCAGCTGTGTGCTGGAGCCCCACCTCAGTCACCTGCAGGGGTGGCTGGAGGGTGTCTGGGCGCCCAGCTGTGTGGCCCAGGGAGTCTGTGGCTGCGTGCTGGGTTCCTGGGCCATTCACAGATCTATGCCCCTCCACTGTCCTAGGGCATGGCAGTGTGTCGGGCCCTGGGGGAGGCCTGGGGAGTGGGCCCCTGGGCCAGGCCATGGGACATCTCTAAGGTGATCATGGCCTCCTGCAGCCCCGTGGGCCACAGCCATCCCAGTGGGGGCCTTGCTCCACTCGGCGCCTCTCCCACAGTCACCAAACCTCCCCGACGGCAGCTCCCCTGGCAGGAAGCTTCCCTGGCTCAACTGCTGGGGCTGACTGGGAAGATTCCGCGGGGTCGGTCACAAGTTCTACAGCTGACAGACTACGTGCCTTTCAGTCACAAACAGTGCATCATATGGCCCGGAAGGTGACCCACACAGCAGGAGGGGCTCGGCCAGCAGTGCCAGGGCTCTGGGAAGGCAGGCCCCGGGAGCCCTGCTCACAGAGGGCACCATCTGGGCTCTCCCGGACGCCAGCAGCAGCTACTCTGGGCGGGAGCTGCAGTGACACAGCCTGCCTTTCACCCAGTGGCTCCTGCCCCCAACGATGTGAGCACTGCTGCTGTCCCAGGCAGGTGGAGAAACCGGTGCAGGAAGTGATGTGACTTGCCCAAGGCCCCAGCTGGTATGTGGCTGAGCAGGCATGGAACCCAGTCCTTAGGGCTGGTGTGTGGCTGGAGGGCAGAGGAGGGGGCTGGGAGCCAAGTCAGGGGCCTGGGCTTGGCACAGCCAGGCTGCCACCCAGTAGGCCCTGTCCTCACTGAGTCTCAGCTCCACACCTGGAGAAGGACAGCGAAGCTGAGGAGCCCGGGCTGCTGGCCAGCTTGGACGTCCTGGGATGTGGCCCTGACACTCCTCCAGGACTGCTTCTCAGGGAACTTCACTTGGGCTGGAAGAAAGCAGGCTCCTCCGGGTCCCCTGCCCCAAAGCTCCAGCCTCCCAGCATTGACCCTAAAGGCCTGACAACCTCTGTGCGGGGAGGAGACCCTCCGGTGACCCAGCCTGGGCCATCCCTGACCTTCCCTGGGGCCCTGGCCCATCGCTGCTGTTGGTGGCCCCAGTGGCAGAAACAGTCCCAGTTGTCACCCCCCACAAGTGCTCGAGAGTGGGGGCTCATCCCCTGGAGAGAGCCCAGAGGCTTCAAGGAGCCCCAGGAGTGTGTTCATAAACAATCTGGGCCAGGTGTTCCTGGGGGCACCTGGCGAGCCTTCAGACTTGGGAAATTCAGCACCAAATCCACCATTTGGCTCCAGGCACCTCTACCCGAGGGAGGGGGCAGGGTGGGCTGAGGGATCTGTGGGCACATGGGGGCCTCCTCACTCTCACCCCAACCTTGCCCCCACCCCAAAGCCATGCCCAACACTCAGACTTTCTGTGGCCGCTTCTCAGAGCTGGGAGTCCCCCCTGGAAGGGACCTGGGCCAGCGGTGGTATTCAGAGCCAAACATTTTCTTGGAGCCCAATGTGTCGGCCAGCTAAGCGGAGCTTCTCTCTTGGGAGGCCCTCAGGGACCGACCTCACACCTGCTCTCCCAGTTCCCCGCAGCCTACCCTGAGGAATTTCACAGGGCAGAGCCCAGAAGTGTCTCATTTGACACCAGAGGGAGCTGAGGCACAGAAAGGGCAAGCATGTGGCCTAAAGCCGCACAGCGTATTAACGACTGCAGGCTGCACCCCATCATTGACCAGCACCCAGTGTCACAACAGAGCAGCACTGACGAGGGATATAAATGACACACCTCCCATCTCCTGTGCACATGCACGTACATGTGTGCACACACACCAGCCCTTCAGAGGCAGGCCTGGCCTTGGTGGTGGAAGCTGCTCTGCACCTGCCCCTATTGGCATTGGGTGCACCCTCTGCCCATGCCTGCCCATGAAGCCCTCATCCTTGCCAAGGGGAGGACAGAGGGCACCCTGCCAAAGGGCCCAAAGTCAGCCCATGGTCGCCTGCCTTTTCTTGACCCCATTCTCTGCAGTCAAGGCCAAGGGGAGCCAAGGCTTCCCGCTGCTTCCCGCTGCAGCGGGGCTGGAGAGCAGAGGACGGGGCAGAGCCTGCCCCCACACCGACAAGCACCCTGACCCTGCGGGCCTCAGAGCCCCCTCCACTGTGGGGGGGAAAGATTCCAGCCCCTTCCTCAGGGTACTGGCACCAGGGAAGCATCTGCCAGGCTGGCTCAATTCCCGTGTGGGTAGGGGCCCCGTGGTGGGCTTCTCCACACCCCTAGTATTCCACAGGCAGGGGTAATAGGTCCACAGCCTGGCCTGAGCAGCTACCCCGAGACCATGCAGGGTGGCCCAGCCTCACGAAGCACCCACTCCCTTGCTTGCTCTCAGTGGAGGGAAAATCCAGGCCAGGCGAGTGGCAGAGGCTGGAGTCATGGCTGGGCTGTCAGGACACCTGCTGTTGGTCTCCCCCCAGGTGCTCCTCAGATGGGGTACAGGGGTCATTGGGAATAGGCAGTGGGACAGGATAAGGGGAGGGGCAGGGGAGGAGCTCCTGGGACTGTACGCACTGGACCAGGTGGTGGCGGGCGGGGACCAGACCCGCAGGCCAACGCCTCCCCATATGTTGGGTGCCGGCCTTCCCCCTTGGCCAATGCCTGGAGATCGCTGCAGAGTATCCCGCCCAACAGGGAGCCACGTCCCGGCTTAGGTGCACAGACCCTAGGGGTGCTCTGTGATCGCACACAGGGCAGGCGGAGGGACATGTCAGATTTTGCAGGGAATAAGCATGCAGTGAGCACTCTGAGACGTGAACAACATGACTGGCCGGTGGCCATGCCTGGGTCAGAGTGGATCCTGCAAAGGCCTGTGGGTGCACAAAGCAACCCCTCCAACCCCTCAGTTCAGTGTGGCGATGCAGAGGACAGCACTTGGCGTTCCCTCGTCTTGTTCACAAGCTCAGCTGGGGACACACCACCCAGAAGCAAGGGCCGGGGAGTGACAAACGCTCATGTCCTCCACCGTGGGTGAACTGGAACAATGGCCAGAACACCCGTCATCAAGCCCTGCTCAGTCCCACGCTGGGCTGACAGCCTCCTTTCCTGACCCATCACCATGGCCGGAGAGGTGGCGTGACTACCCTCACTGGAGGTTCAGAAAGCAAGGCTCCCCGGCCACCCAGTGAAGAGCCAGCCTAGTTTTGAAAACACCCACCCTTCTGTCTGCCCTTTTGTGAATGGGCGTCAGGCACTGAGCCAGGCGCTGGAGCTGGGCTAGTGGTAAACATTGAGTTGCCCTTCTGTGGAACAAACCAGTTGTGGTTCGGGGGCCCGGGGCTCGAGGGGGGGCCTCACGAGCCCCTCGCACACACCCTTGTGCAGGAAACAGGCGTCCGGTTCTGCTGCCCTGCTCAGCCTTGGTGCCAGACGCCTCTCAAAGCTTCCAAGCAGGGAGCCAGGGCCCTGGACACAACTGCTCGCCTAACTCAACTGAAAGGCAGTCACTGGCCTCACGGGCGTTGACTTTCTGAGCCCATGAGGAGACCGTGCTGGCTGGTGGGAGGCTCACGAGGCCAGAGAGAGGCAGGGCCGCCCCCTCCAAGGGGCTCAAGAGCTCCGGCCTGCCACTCTGATTTAGTCATGCCTCCCGCTCTCCCCCAAACAGGGTGGGCAAAGGGCAGGCACATCCTGTGTGTGTTGGGGCTTTATCAATTCAGCCGTCCCTTCCTTCACTACCAGCGTCCCCAATGGAATCCCAGGGTCAGGAATGTGTGGCAATCAGACCGCATGGTGGCAAGTGCACCCAGGGGCCCTTTATAAAGCAGGGTGAACCCGGGAGCCACACACCTGAATGGGAACCAGCGGAGCTCTGCCCAGCCGGCCAGGGTCCAGCAGCCCTCCTGGGGAGCAGGCCCACAGCAGGGTGAGTACAGTCACTGCATGCCCAGCAGGAGCCCCGCTCAGGCCCTCCTCCAGGTCAGGAGTGGGCACAGGCAGCCCACAGCTGCCCTCAGGGGCACAGCCCCTGGGCTTCCATCCTGTGCTTTTCCTGCCACCTTCTGGGTGTTGGGGCCTGAAGCCCTAACTTGTGCAGGGGCCAAATTTTCAGTGGCGAATGCCCCAAGCTCCCACCAGGTTCTTCAGGAGGTCCATGACCCCCACAAAATGGGAGACAGACCACCTGCTTCAGTGCAGCAAGATGCCCCCTTTCTCAGGACACAGAGGCCACCACAGGGGGACTCATCCACCAGGTGGAACCCTCCCTGGTCCCAGCCATTACTGCTGTGGGCAGCGCTTCCTGTGGGGAGGAAACCACCTGGGAAGAAACCCCCCCACCCTGCCCAGGCCCAGGGGATCAGGGTAGCTTAGGGGGGCTGGATTGGGTAGGGAGGAGATCTGCCTTTATGACTCCTTCCAAGCTTTCTGGCCGAGTTCACTTTGACGTCTCTTCAAGGGAGCCATTTCTGCAGAGAGCTCTAGGGACTCGGTGCTGGCTTCTCCGGAACCAGCTCTCTTTATCCCAGCCTCAGTTCTACTCCGCAGAGGGCCAGCCAGCTCTGACTCACATGGTCGTCACCAAAAAGGCTTCCTCTGCGAGGGACGAGCCATTACTGCCGAGGCCAGGCACTCTGGGGAACCTTCTGTCTCAGGTCCCCTCCAGACTGCCATCCTTGGTGTAGGGTAGCGATTCCTGAGTCAAGCCCGATCAGACGTGGGCTTGCATCCCAGCTTTGTCCCTTACAAGGCTGTGCGATCTTGGGCAAGTCGCCTGTTCGAACCTGTTGCCTCCTCAGTGACAGGGGACGAGATGATGCCCTCCGGTAAGAGGATTGCAAGGATGATATCAGATATGGGCGGAAAGCACTGCCCACAGGGCCGGCACTCAGACGCCGTCTGGCCCTTTGAATCGTGAATCCCAGAGCTTCACTCTCTCGCTGTGGCCTAGGCACAGTCTCTTGGGCTTGCTGATGGTTTTCTTGTCTGAAAAAAATGGGAACAACAGTGCCTAAAAATTAGGTTCATTGTGAAGATGAAGTGCAGCTGTGCACACAGACGGTGCTCACAGGTTTTAGCTCATAGCCTGGCATACAGATGGTGCTCAACAAGGGCCGTCGGTGCCCAGGACGTTCACATACTCCGCTTCAGGCGGGTGTCTGAGTTAGCCCAAGAGCATCACATCTGTTTCCTGCTTTCAGGAGCAACTCATTTCCACCTTAAAGAGACATTAGCAGTGTCCCAGCCAGACAGCTTAAGCTCAACCCATTTATCAAGTTGAAAACTAAAAGATTGATGGTATTAACTCTGTACCCCACGGTTCTGGGATGATATGGCCCGAGAGCCAATGATCACAATGAAAGAATGAATCGACTTTGCTCGGCTCTCCCAGGGCTGCCTGCGCACCACTGTGGGCCATCCTCGCAGCCGAGGTAGGGTGCTAAGCTGCCAGGGGACCGCAGCAGAGGGCGAACAGCCTGAGTGGTGCCCTCAGCTCCTGAGCCTGCTAAGAAAATAAAGACCTAGTCTCCCAACATGGCACCTTCTCCTGCTGCTCGCAGGGTGGGCCCTCCGTACTACCGGCTGATGCCCTGGAGGCTGCCCAGGTCCTGGGGAGCACCGTTGACAAGCCGGGGGGCATGGCCCACGTGTGCAGCCTATTAACTTCTTCCTCTCTTTCCTCTGGACCAGATGATAAGCCCTTCCTCCCTGTCCTGCCTCCTCCTCCTGCAGTTGGGCACCTGCTTCCCTCAACTGGGCAGAGAAGAGCCCACAGATGCCACGGGTGGTATCGGGGGCCAAGGGAGCTGGCCCAGCCAGGCTGGGGGCCACCAAATCCACCTCCCGAGGGGCCCCTCTCAGTGGCTGAGAGCGCCACACCCACAGGCCCTGCTTGTCATGGCCAAGGAGCTGCAGATGTCGGACCGAGAGCGTGCTGGCTTCAGGTTCCGGTTCGGGAGGCAGGATGATGATGGCAGCGAGGCCACTGGCTTCCTCCCAGCTGATGGCAAGGCTGGCAGCCCGCTGGGGACCCTGGCTGAGGAGCTTAATGGCTACAGCAGGAAGAAAGGTGGCTTCAGCTTCCGCTTCGGCCGGCGGTGAAGAGGCCAGGGCGCCTTGAAAAGCTTCTCTCCTCGATCCCACCCCCCACCATTTCCCTCCCTTCTTCTCAAGCCTCAGAGACCAGGCCACTGAGACAGCATGGGTGTTATAATGAATTATTAGCAGTAGGACTGGTTAGGTGGGAGCTTACTTTTGATTTCCAACTTGGCTGAAGCAAATCCCAGATGGTGTCAAAAAGCTGACCAAACGCAAGCTGTCTCTGTTCAGAGAAGGAAGCACCGCGGCTCGTGGCGCTCACCGGCAGCCCGCAGCCCTGCATCCCCTTCCCGGGTGGTCTGGTTTCTCAGCAGCCCCTGGCCCCGTTGCTGGGCCGTGAATATGAATAGGCGGCTGGCTGGGTAGGTGGGCTGAGTGATTACAGCGGGGTAATCAAAGTTTTGCGTCTCCACAGGGACATCTGTAGCTGACATCCAAAGTGCAGCTGTGAGTGACTACGTTCCACTGGGTCCAGAGCATGGTTCTGAGAGTTAAAAGTGAAATAAAAAATCTTGTTTTCCATCCCATTAACACAAGACCCCTCCGGCAAAAAACCCTGCTGTGGTGTTGAGATGCCATTTGAAACCGGCTGCCCATTCCCCTCTGATGACTATCCTCGGTGGCAGTGTTTGCCAAGCCAAGAGCCTCGTGGGATATGAACAAGGGAGGAACACGTCTTTGCTATATAGCAAGGTTGCATTTCAAATGTTCAGAATATGAATGTGTTGTGTGTATCTTTTGAAATGAAAGTTGTGACAATGCAAAGCTGTAACAGTGGTGATGGAATGCGCACCTGGCTCCTGCCTACAGGTCCTCTGTACCCCAGAAACTTGGTTTTCCTGAGCTCCAAGTGCTTTCACTTTGGGGAGACGGAAATCAGGCTTAATGTACCCACATGCCTCTCCCAGCATCCTCTTAATTGGCAGCTGGTAGGACACCTATGGTCAAAGGTGCCGGGAAATCCAATACTGGGCGTATTTTCCTCCTGCACGTGACTGCCCCTTCCACAGTTTCCTCAGAGCAAGGAGCATTCTGAAAACAACTTTTCCACCCTGGGGAAGCCGGCACTCAGCCTGGTGTGGCTGCGGGCCTGGGGCAAGGCACAGCATCTCTCAAACGCGGCTCTGGTGCGTCCCACATCCCATCCTGTGTCAGATACAGCAGTCTGATGCTGCTCACTCCCAGGCTGCCTTCAACTGCTGAGATGAGAACCTGTATTGATGTTACTATGGCAACATCTCTCCTCCTGCTTTTGAGTTGCTGCTTGCCCCTGTTCACAATTGAATAATTTTCCATTGAGCTGTCACAATTAATTGGTGGATTTTTATTAGCTTTTTAGGACCACACTGGGCTGGGCCCAGCTTGGCACCTTGGAGCATTTCAGTGTTTTCCGCTCTCTTAGTGACTTACGTTCCTCGGTAGCAGCTCTCAATCCTTGGCAGCCAGAAAGCCACTTCATTAAGGGGTGACAGATCTGAGCCACAAAGAGCCAAGCTGACAGGAGCAGGAACGGGGTGGCAAGATGGGACAGGAGCACAGGAGTCAGAGCACCATCTTAGGTTTAGGTGAGCTGCCTGCTCCTGGGGCCCCTCACGTATCTCCCCTGTGCCTCCGTACACGCATCCTGGGGCTCAGGGCTGCTGTGAGAGGGAGTGGTGACAGAGTCTGGAGGGGACACTGTGCTCTCTGGCCTCCCATCACTGTCTGAGGAAGGGGTGATCTGGGACACCTCCCGTGAGGTTACAGTCTGAGGGATGGAATACATCCCCAGGTCTTCATAAGGTGGTAAAAGAGGCACTTGCCCTCAAGCCAAGGAGGATACAGCTCAAGAAAATGAGTCCCAGTGTGTCCATAAAGAAGAACGTACCGAGAACAGGGTGGGTGGATGAAGGCAGTATGACCCAAGGCTCTGACCCCAGGGCGTGCTCACTTCCACTCCAAGTGGACACAGCGACCTGGGGCAGCCCTCCCTTAGCTCACACACACAAGGGAGCCAGAGGACACGCTCTGGAAGAGATCAAAAGCCAGGGACAGGGCGTCGCCCTGCAGCAAGTCCCCCCGGCCAACCCTCACGGCTGGTAGGCCGACTTCTCCACTAAGTTACAAGGAGCCGCCCCACGGTCACCCGTCCTGAGACCTCGGAGGTCACCAAGGCTGAGATACTCCAGCATGTATTGCCACACTCGGGTATACACTGGCTGAGTTTTTCCTTAGCAGGTTAAAATGAACCTCGATGGAGAAATCTGAGCTAAAGGGCAGGGAGAGGGCCTTCGGAGGGCCTTTCATCATTAAACAAGAATCAACAAGGTCATTCTGTCCAGGTGCTTCTGCATTCAGCTCAGTGACCCTGAAGGTCAGAGTGCTCAAACTGCTCAGGGCTGGCTGGTACAGCCGCTCCGCCTCTTTAACCCCTGCCCTCTTGACCCCACTGGCTGTCAAGGTTTGGGGTTCCCATGCCCCCACTCTTTCCTTGGTGGGGAAGACTGCTTTTCAGATTAGTGCACACGAGGCTCTTCAGAAGCAGAGAGGTCACGCCCCCCAACTCCCTCCAGCCTCCCGGTCCCCACACCTGGCGGGGCAGTGTTTGCTCTCCAGTCCAGGCCCGACAGCCGGGGCACCCCGTCATTCTATTTACTCAAGACCCAAACATTTCATTTTGGGGTATAGCTCTGAAAATATTTAGCTGCTTAGCTGGATGTAAAATACTTCTGTCTATAATTTCCTGTATGTTTGAAATTTAATAAAAGTGTGTAAGAAAAAGAGAGGCTGGTGGGAGCAGCGGGAGTCTCTGCAGTCACTGAGGGCCCCCACCAGCTTTAGCCTGGTGCTAAAGCTGCTGCCCGACCCCATGGAAGACCCCAGCCAAGGGGCTTGCACCCTCGGAGCAAGCAGCCGGGGCCCTGCCCAAGATGTTGGGTGGCCAGCAGGGATGAGGGCAGGGCCTGACGGGGCGCTGCGATAGATCGGCCCTGGCTCACCTAATGCCTGCTGTGCCAAGACAACTTTAGAAATTGATTCCCCAGAGCACCCAGTTTGGGAATGCCTCCTATTAAATAGCTCCACACACCTGAGCAGCTGGGCTGGCTCAATTCCTCACTTCTCTTCCGCGTTGGAGGGAGGAGCCTGGCCCTGGAGCACAGGTCTCTGCTGGACATGCTGTGGCCATCTGCATTGCCAACAGATTAGTCTGGCATGGCAGGTCAATGCCAGCACATGCTGTGTGACCTTGGGCAAACTGCTTCACATTCGTCACCCATCAATTGAGGCCAGTGACAAAACTTCCTTCATAAAACGTGAGGGTTTCATGGGGAAATGCAGAGAGCTCTGTAGAGTAGCTTAAATTTTAAGAAAACTTCCACTGACATGTAACACATACTGCAGCTGTGCTCCAGTTCTAAGCGTTGTATTTTCACCAAGTGACACACCCATTAGCCAGCACGGCCCAGACTGAGCATCAGAGCAGTACCTGCTCTGCAAGCCCCCGTGCCCCAGCCAGGTGTGACCCTCCACCCCGACTTCCATACCACAGACTAGCTGTGCCTGCCTGAACACAGAAGCTTCCAGAGTCCCTACGGCATGACTGGCCGTATTCAGGCGCGGCCCGCCGGCTCCTCCTTACAGCTCTGGGATGTGCGGCTGTATGGATATACCAGCATGTACTTATTTTTCTTCTACTGGTAATATCTGGGCTGTTTTCAGTTTTAGGATTAAGTACTTGCTTTTAAAATTTTTGACATTTTAGGCTTATATTTCATAACAACAGCTGCTGGGGCTTCTGGTGGGCATGGTCCCTGGATACTCCTTGGTTCTGAACCTCAAGGGCAGGACTCAAAATTATGTGAAAACTGTTTTGTGTGTGCACTTACGTGTATTTTCTCTGGGGTTAGATCCAGTGTGCGTTAAGTTCCCAACGGGTTCTGTGATCTAAGATAGGCTAAGAATTATTGTCCTAGAATGACTAGACCCCACACGTTTCTCATGCTCGCTGACATATACGAGGACCCTTATTCCAGTGGTACAGCTGCCACAGTGACTGACGTGTGACTCCACCCGTGTGCTGTCTCACAAGTAACCTCACTTCCAAGCATCAGGCAGGGATAAGCCCTGCCTAGGAGGCTGCCCCAAAGATTCTGAGACTGGTCCATGTCTGACCCAGAGGAAGCAGCCATCAGTTGTAGCTGTTGGGATAATCATTCTATATCTCTTTTCACACTTGAGATCTGGCGCAGCTACGAGCACACTCTGCGGCCCAGGCCTCGGCTTTTGTCTCTGTGAAATGAGAGGGAAGAGGTGCGGTCTCTGGCGCTGCTGGCAGCCACTCAATCTGAGCTCGCTCCGATGGGTCCTGCCAGCCCTCATCCCAGGTTAGTGCCTCCGCCTCCAGCACCTGATGGGCAGGCACATCCTGCCGCCGAGGTCTCCGGTGGAGGCTTCACTGAACCGTGCTCTTCCGCATGCTTTGGTGAGCAGGCTCTTTATCCTCTGACAAGTCTGCTGCCTTAATAAGTATCATTATCAGAGGGTGCTACTGACTTCCCTGACTTCCACTTTCCAAGCTGTCAGCTGGCGTTAAATGGACAGCAACTCAGGGACACGTCAGCACCCGCCCCGTGGTCCCCCTGCGGGGTGCAAGGGACAGCAATTCCATCCCTCACGGGCAGCACACCCTGAATTCCTTGTCCACACAAATAAGATAGCTGGCGTGTGGAACACAACCAAGTGAGGGGCACTGGGGCTTGAGGGCAGTGGCGGAGCAAGCTCAAGGCAAAGAGCACAGAGCGCCTGTGGAGGGAGGGACTCTTCCAGGCCAGCAAGGAGCAGAGGACATCACCCCCTCCCCCATTTCTGTGTTGCCTGCAGTCCTCAGGCTGGTCTTCCTTTCCCACGCCAGTTAGGCGTGGCCCGATCGGTGGGCATCACCCACTCTCAGTGCTGCTGGCAAAGAGCGTCAAGGGCACAGGAAGGGCCTGAGATTGAGGGCAGCGAAACTGGGTGCAAGGGGCCGACGACAACACAGGATACAGGAGTCTTGCTGCAACCTTGCTCTGTTCTCTGTTCTGCAAAACGTGGAGGCTCCAGCCCCTTCAGGGCACCAAGGACTCCCCTTCCTCCACACCCTACAGGCTCGCCTTGGCTCCAGACAACAGGGAAGAACTACGGACCACAGCAATCTGCCCGAGCTCTAATGTTGTAAACATTTATTCAAAAAATACTACAGAGGAGAGATGTGGATTCAAAAGACAGTCATATACAGAAACAAAATGTAATGGACCAAAAAAACCCTGGAAAAAAACAAAAAAACCAGACACCATAGGCATTGGAGAAGGGAGGACAGTGGAACTATTTACACGTCACTTATAAAAGAACAAGTCTATAAAAGTGTAATACCAACGTATAAATGCAAAATATAGTGGCATATCATGTGAACAAAAACAAGACCAGTCCCTCATAGGGAACAGGCAGCAAGGGGAGCTGGGTGGGTCTGACGCTCTGTCTGCAAGGCCGCGAGCGGTGTTCTAGCACCTCCCTCCGTCTGTGACACGGCAGTCTGGGGGGCAAAGAGGCGATGCGCTGTGAGAACAGCGCACAACGTTCCAGAGGAAACCATCTCTGCTAGAGAAATAAAGTACAAGTTCAGGTGATTAGTGTAAAAATAGGGTGCAGCTGTGCAAGGTCATGGGCGTGAGAAGGCGCTGGGAGCGCAAGGTGGTTTTCTCCTGGTTCTTCCAAGGGCTGCTCCTGGGCCTGGCCAGCTCTTCAGTAGCTGCTCTCGATCAGGGTCCAGGACACCAGACCCTGCCCCACGAGCCTGGACAGCCCGGGGGGAGTCTGCTGAGGCGTGCTCTCTCAGGCGCTTCCTGGGGCTTCAGTTGTTTGTGGTTTTCTTCATACCCAGTGACCCCAATGGGAACATCAGGCTACGTGAGGCTTGTAATTAAATAAGACATTTGCCCAGCAGACCAAGAGTCCTCCTCTTCCCGTTTAAGTGCGGTGCATGTGGGGGCACCGACAGCAGCTCCTTCTGGGTCAGACGTGGGCGTGCTGAGGGCAGAACTTGGAAATGCTTCAAGAACTCCAGAAAACTGAAGGCTGGCTTGTCACAAAGGAAGGAGACCTTCAAGAATCTACTTCACCCCAGGGGGGCACAAGGGAAGGAAGGAGACTGATCGAAAGGCAAGAGCAGGTGCCTTTTAGAGCACCTGGAAATCTGACGGGAGAGTAACCCCGGCCAGCTGCACACCAGCCCAGGCCCAGCTCTGCCACCTCCCCAGCCCCCATATGCTGCACAGTGACCCTGTGGCCCTAAAGACTCAAGCTTTCTGCCCAGCACTGGCAGTGCACAGCAAGGGACTGGGCTCTGTGGACATGGAGAGACCAATGACAAGGGCGCCCCCCCCACACCACGGCCCTCCAGCTCCCCACCTGTCCTGGGCCCCAGAGGCTGCTTGGTTTTAGCACCCCGTTTACTCCCAAATCCAGAGCTGTCCTTCACGTGAGAAATTAACAAGGGCACCAGCCCTGGAGCAAGGAGGACAGAGTGACCAGCTGGCGGGTCTTCCCAGGATGTCGTTCTGGAAACTGAGCAGGAGGCACGAGGAAGATGAACAAACGCACAACACTGTGCAGCCTGAGTGGTGGCGACACCTCCCAAGGCCTGGGGGACACGGCTCCCGTCCAGGGCACTTGCTCTTGGGGCACGTGGAAGCAGAGGCACAGCCAGAGAAAGTCCTCCAGGAAGGAAATGCCCTCCCACCTGGCCCGAGAGCTGTTCTGGGCACTGCATGGGGACGAGGCCGGCGTGCCGAGTGCAGCTCCCCAGGGCGGGACTCCACAGACGGAACTCAGGGCAGAGCTGGCTCGGGAGCCCGGGCTGAGGGGGAGGAAGCGCGGCAGAGTCTGCACAGCGGACGTGGCAGGGCCACTCTCCCCGGCACCCTCGGCTACAGCCTGTCCCGTGCACAGCTTCTGGCCGAGGCCCCAGTGCACCCGCCCTGGGGCAGCCACGGCTCGGGCAAGGGGGAGCCCTACCATGCTGCAGGCTGCAGCTGGCCTGATGCCCGGCCTCTGCTACCTCTGTACGATGTCGCTGATCTCTTTCACGGAGCTGAGGAGTTTGCTGAAGTCCTGAGTGGCTGCCGGGCCAGCCCCTGCCACTGCTGGGCAGATCTGAAGCTCCCGCAGATTATTCTCCAGCTTGTTGATGGCCTCACGGAAAGCAAATTTGTTCCTCATTTGCTGGATGGAGTCCACATAGCTCACGCAGAATGTATAGAGGTTTTTGCCGGCTTCCAGCACGGCACTGTGGCTGGCCATCTGCTCGGAGTTCTTGGAGATGGCTAGGCACAGGGCCTCTGTGCCATCCAGGACCACGCCCTTGGTGATGGCACCACTGGTGATCCGCTCCGGGGGTTGGCGGGTCTTCCGAAGAGACACACGGGTTGATATGAGCGGGATGAAGGCGGTGGAGGACGGCTGGTCCCCCACCAGGGCTGAGGACGCTGATGGCAATGTGGAGGAAGCAGGGACTGGGCTGGTTGGGGTCCCTGCCGGCTTGCTGGATGACTGTGGCTTTGGCATGGACAGGAGCACAGGCTTTTTGACACTCTCTCCCAGCGGGCTGGGCTTGGCAGCGTCACTGTTCGCAGCGTCCACAGCCGCAGCTGTGGGCTTTGCTTTCCCGCCGGCGCCAGCCTCCCCGGCTGCTTCCTGGCTGGGGCTCTGAGAGGGCTTCCCGGCTTTCCCGGCTGAGGCTGCTGGTGGCGGCGGCGGGGCAGGTTTGAGCTTGGACAATTTCCCCTTGTCTCTCCCAGGGGACTCAGAGGAGGGCTTGTGCCTCCTCACCCTGGCCTCCTCGGCAGAGGCCCTGGCGGTCCCACCAGACGTGCCTGGCCCTGCCCTGCTGACGGGGGGCACTGGCTCAGAGGCAGCAGGAGTCCCCAGGGCACTGGATTTCCCGGCCTCTTCCTTGGGAGGAAGGCCAGAGGATGGGGCCACCATGACCTGCCTCCGGAGGAGTTTGGGAGTCAGACTTGGGGGGCTGGAGCCTGGGCTGGACTCCGCCGGGTCTTTGAAGACCTCATCGGCCAACTCTTCGGTCTTCTTCAACAGCCTGGGGGGCGGAGTCACTGTGCCTCTGGTCACCTGGTCAGACCTGTTCTCGCTCGCCCGCTTCCGAGGCAGAGCTGGCTTCTCACTTTTGTGCCCTCCGAACGTGGAGGAGTCAAACTGTCGGCCCGTGGACTGCAGATCCCGAGGCAGCGTGACTGACCTCCACTCGGTGTCCTTGGCCCCGTGGGGCACGCAGGAGGCAGAGCAGGATCTCAGGAAGCGCTTGCTGGAGCTGCTGCCGTTCTCCTCTTCGCTGGCTGCTAATCGGCTGCTGGTCAGTGTGCTGGACTTTTTCCACAGGTGGGGAGACCGGAAGCCTGCACCCCCTGACTCCCGGAAGGCCCCATTGGGGACGCCAGCCCCGCTGCTGGGCTTCGGGGCCTTGGCTGGCTCAGCTGCGTCCGGCGGTGTGGGAGCGGGCGCCCCGTTGCTGACTTCACGGCCCTCCTCCTCACTGGCCCCCTTGCGCTCCGGCTGGCCGTCCATCTCCCGGAAGGAGCTGCTCCGTTTGGGAGGGGTTGGGGCTGTTTTCTTCTTCTTCTTGATCAGGGCGCTGAACAAGTTCGTCTTCTTGTCTTTGGGGAGAAGGCGCTCATCTTCATTTAGGCTGCCATCCTGGGGACTTCGCTCTTTTCGAGGGAGCAACGGAGACACAGGGGGCTCGTGGTCCAGAGGATCTGAAACACATCGGGAAGAGCTTAACAATTCCAAACCAAAGGCTTCTGCGTGAGTGGGGAGCCCTGGGCTGGCCACCCGTTCTCTGCGGAGAAGCAGCCACAGCTCGGGCCCTGGGCTCTGATGGGCCCGTGTCTGAATACCAGCTCTGCCCCTCACCAGAGGCCTGGCCATCAAACTTCTCTTCACTCATCCTGGGCTTTCTCATCTGTAAGAAAACCTGCCCATAGCGCTGTTGTGAGGAGGTAGTGCAACAGTGGCTGCTGAGCATTTGTCAGAGCTCTTGGCATGTAATTTCTCAACAGCTGCTGTCATTGTTGTTAGTATTACTACTAGGAGAAGCTTAGGTCTCCCTCCTTGAAGACAGCAGGACAAAGAGGTAGGATACCTGGCCCCTCACCCCTGTACTGGTTTCCTTTAAGGCAGCAGAGACCCCACACCACTGTCTGGGGAGTACAGAGCATGACAAGAGTGAGCAAAGGTCAGAACCTGGGCCTTTCAGACCAGCCAGCTACCAAGGTCCCTGGGAGGTATGGTCTGGAGGGAAGGGGGTGTACGCCACAGGGTACAGTGACAATGGGCTATTATGCTTGGGAAATAAGAAGGGGTGACCTTTTAAAATGTTTAAATGGACATTCTTTAAATATGAGTAATAGCTCCTAAGAAATCCTTCTTGTGTTGCCAAGCTCCCCGCTGGTCAACGACACAATCCTCCCTCCGAGGGCGGCTGCAGGCACCCTGTACCTCAGAGCAGAGAGGGACGCGCGGCACGAAAGGCGTCTGACTCAGGGAAAGCCAGGGCCTCCCCAGACTTCCAGCCGGGAGGAGATGGCCAAGAAAGTGAAATGCTAACGCATTGCCCACTGTCTACTTCAGGGCCGAGCTGCCAACACTGCTCACCATGAGATCACACAGCCAGGTGCCCCTCAGACAAATACTGACAGGCATAAATGGACAAGACTGCTTCTCACAGGGCTTTGAATTAGCCCGAAGCCTCCACAGTGGTCTCTCCTCCCACTGCTCCACTACCTGAAATCATGACAACTAACAGAAGAACAAACAGAACAAGTTTCTGGACAGTCTATACGGTATGGCCTCCAAGCAGGGAGAGCAAGATGAGCCACGGGGTGTGGAAAGAAAGCGGGCGTTGATTCCCCAGCCTCCAGTGGGGTGGCGGTCGGGGTGGGGACATACCAGTCTCTCCGGGGCCCTTGGAGTGCGGTGTGTCAGGCACGTCAGTGGAGTCTCTGTGTTCTGTAGCTCTCCTGGAGGTTCTGGTTTTGGTGGGCAGCTCCGGGGCCTGCAGCAAAGTACTTCCAACGACTCGCATGCCTTTCTTCCCCAGTTCCTTTTCCACTTCTAAGAACCAACAAAAAAACAACAAAAAAATCAGCAGCCATCAGTTACTGTCATTTCGGTACGTTAGCTTGCTTTTTAAGATAACAGTGGTCATCTGTACACAGCTGCGGAAAAGAGATCCAGATGCTGAAGAGCACTTAGCAGTTCGCAGAGCTCGGCACGGCTCTGCATGCAAAACCTCCACCCAGCATTCCGATCTCAGTTAACTTGGCCCGCACACCCCCACCTGGAAGGTGGGCCAGGGCTGGGTCCCACGTGGCTCTGCCCACCCCACTTTTCACTGGGCTGCAAGCAGCCTGGACAGACACTTTACCATCTGATATGCTGGATTCCTGGAACATTGTTTCAAAGGCTTGGTGGATCTCAGCAAAGGAGGGCCGGTCAGAGGGATTCCACTGCCAACCTGGACAGATGAGACCCAAGTCAGACCATCCATGAGGCCTTGCTAATTAGTGTGGGGCTAGCAGTTCTCAAGGAATTGTCTGGAAATCAAAGCAGCAATCCAATCTTGTCAACCATCTTTTGCTGTGACAAGTTAAAGTAACAAATGCCACTGTGTCCTATTACAGACATTAAGAATTTGAAAGGCTTTAGATATTGGCAGGAATATGGATTGTAAAACCCCAGAGGGATGCTGACAGCAAGAGCTGCGTGGACAGATACTGTTCCCAGCTCTCCCACTCCAGCAAGTGCAGGGATTACTAAGCCAAACAGCTTGCTTTCTACTGTACCCTCAGTTCACGGTTATCCAAGTCCAAAACCCTCATCAGTAAAGAAATGCTAACTAAAACAAGATTAAAAGGAAGATGAAAGACTTTTAGATGAAGCCCTGTGCTGGTGAGGACGCAGATCCTCATACACTTCTGGTGAGAGCATCAACTGGCACACCTTTTTAGAAAACAATTTATTAAAATCTGCCAAAATTTAAAATGCACACAGCCCTTGGAACCAAGAGCTCGACTTTCAGAAACACCAGCACAAGGTATACATATGAGGATGTTTATGTCTGCCTTGTTTATCATGGCAAAAACCAAGCGAGTGTGTAAAACCACCAAATGTTCATCCAAAGAAGACTGGATGAACGAATAAATCATTTAATCGGAGGTTAAACAGCTGTATACAAACAAGGAGGGGGAGCGGGAGGGAAGGGAGAGACAAGTCTCTGAATTACAGACATGGGAAATATGCTGTTATACTCCTAAGTGCAAAATAAGGTTGAAGGAATGATTTTATACGGATATATATGTAATAAAATCACTGGAGTTTTATTATGTATGAAAATGCCGGCTGGGGTATTTACCTACTAGAGCAGAATGTTTGTGGAGGGAGGGCTTAGGAATTTGTATTTATTAATAAGAAATATAAGTTTGGTCTCCATCAATTTCATTTTTGCATTAAAAAAATCCCCCAAACCCCGCACACATAAACACTACGTATAAACAAAGGTGTACAGAAAACACTGAAAACAGATGTACCAGCTGTCTAAAGAACAGGAATGAAGAGAGGGAACACTTAAGCGCTCTCACTCTACGCAGAGCCCCTGGCACTGGAACCCCCTACAACGCCCGCGAGTGGTCCCGCGACTGGCGGGGGGCGCTCACATGCTCGCATGAGTCCATAGACCTTCTCCGGGCAGCCTTCCGGGCGCTCCATGCGATAGTCCTTCTCTAGCAGCTCATACACCTGGGACAGGTCGATTCCCGGGTAAGGTGACATGCCGTAGGTAGCAATTTCCCAAAGCAATACTCCAAATGCTAAAAGAGAAAAGAGAAAGGTTGCTCAAGATGTGTAAGATTTAACTGTTCGGCATTTAGAACTGGTCACTGTGTAACAGACATCAGAAGCTACAAACCCTCAGAAGCTGGCCAGGTACTGACATTTTACCAGGTTCTTAATTACCAACAAATAGCCCAAGAAAGAATCAGACTTTGAGTTTCCTTGCCCCCACAGACTAAAACATGCTGAAGGAGAGAAGAGGACTGGATTGATCAGCCCCTCTAAGGCTTTTAGGTAACGAGACCACCTTCTGGGCTATGTGGTGGAGGGAACTGAGGACTGGAAGTTAGGAGGCCATTTCTACTCCTAGTTCTGTGACCAGCCAACCACATGCCTAAGACAGGCCACCTTTCCTTTCTGGGTGTACAAGATGATCTCCTTTCCACCTCCAAAGATTTCATACAAATCTAATGAGATCTGAAAGTTCTGAAAGCCCAGATTATAGGCTCGAAATTCTAGATCCCATTAAAGGTGACAGGACTCCCTGAGGAAATGCGTGATTCAGGTCTAGGGCAGGGAGTGAACCCAGAGTATTTATCATTCCAACAGCACAGACGCTATCAAAGACTACAAAGGTCTTGTCAAAGCACCAGGAGCAACTTGAAGTTCCCACTGGCCAAAGACGAGACAATCTGAATATTAATACAGAAAATTATTGCAGTAGATAAAAACACATCAAGTATATTTAAACACATTAAGTAGATGAGAATCCATAATAGTATCACAAAAGAAAAGCAACAAAAATCTAATTGGTCACCATTGTAGGGTATTAACTAACTTGTTACTGTGAAAATTGGTGAATAACAATAAGGATGTAAACATTTATCCTGTCGTCCCTATGTGAACTATGCCCCTGAGTAGCCAAACAGTAGATGAAGGGAAGTCTCTTCTTATAGAAGTAATGAGCTGATAAATGAATAAGGAATGACAGATTTAGAGAACTATCAACCCCTAATAAATTAGCAGATCTCAGCACTGGGTATGGATAGATGCATTCTATACCAATTCATGAGAAAGCTCACCACTGCTAAGGAAGTGCCCTTAACACGAGAAAATGAAGTCAAACCTGAATGCAGTCAAACCACCTCAATCCAGCTAACCACTGACTAGGAATACTAAAGACAAAGGAGCATGAAATCACACCATGGGGACACGGTGGGCAAAATCCAGAACATGAGAAACTTTGAAGGACCAATGATGTGATTTCTTCCACAAGCAAATGGCAAGGGAAATAAGGAGATGGATGGGGGACTTACAGATCAGGGGAGACTAAAGGGGCGTAACTGATCGCACTGTGAACCAGATGGGGCCTCAACTCACACTGTCAACATCTAAAGTATAACTCTCGATTCTATTGGAAATTTAAACACTGACTGGATATTTGACAAAATTCAGAAATCACTGTAATTTTGGGAGGAGGGGCAATGTGATCATGAGAATAAAAAAGCCACCTTTCAGAGATTTATACTGAAATATCTGTGGATAAAATAGTATGTCTGGGATCTGCTTCAAAGTAACACGGGTCAGGGAGGGGGTGGGGTGGAGCAGGTGTAGAGCGCCGCAAGGCGATGGTCGGGGAGCTGGGTGATGGGCACACGGGGCTCATGATGCAACCCGGTTTTCTTCAGTAGATGCTCACAATTTGTCACAATAAAAGTTCTTTTAAAAAAGTAAAATAAAATACTGTCACATGAGATCAGAGGGCACATCCCATTCAAAGCCCCACCCAAACTGCACAGCATTCTGGGCACAGGGAGAGCCTGGCACCCACAGCTCAGCTAGCTGCATGCCCACACCCCAGCAGCCAGCTCAGAATGAAGAGGTACAGAGGACAAGTGAAAAAAAAGTTAATCTGAATTATTTTGGAAGAAAAAGCTCACTTTTACTCCATTTTGGAGAGAAAACAGGGGAGAAGAGATTTTAAACTGAGAAAGAAAAAGATGAGAAAGAGAATTAGGTAATGAAGAAAAAGAGGTGCCAAGTGGAAGGACGGCAGTGAAAAAGCATGCGGAGCCGGAGAGAAGCGGGATACGCAGCCCACGGTGGGCAGCAAGGATGGGCCTGGACGGACCGGCCGCCCTCACCCCAGACGTCGGACTTGATGGAGAACTTGTTGTAGGCCAGGCTCTCGGGCGCTGTCCATTTGATGGGGAACTTGGCCCCGGCGTGGGCGGTGTAGGTGTCCCCCGTCATCAACCTGCTCAGGCCGAAATCAGCCACCTTCACCAAGTGGTTTTCCCCTACCAGGCAGTTTCGTGCAGCAAGATCTCTGAGGAAGAAAAAAGTCCATCTGTGAGGGTGCCCGGCTAGCTTTCCAGAACCCCCAACCCCACCCCGTCCACTGCTGAGTAAAGGTGCAACACCAACAACAGGAAAATTGAGTCCAGTCCCCCAGACACTTATGCTGACCCCCAACCAGGGAGCAGTGCCCTCCCAGCACCCACCTGAGCCCCCACCCCAGGGAGAGGCAGCAGAGGATGACACTGGGAGCAGGTTTCCGAGCCCCATGACCCCTAGCCTCAGTTACCTCATCCATATAATGAAGAGTACCAGCACCTACTCCTTAGTGTTGCTGTAAATGTAACGAGTTAATATGTAAGACACTTCACCTGCTGCCCAGGGAGCAGTGTCATCCGCACATCTGTTTGGTTATTACAGCTCCATGCCTGGCCCCGAAGCAAACGCACAGGCCAGCCCTCGGGCTTGGGGAAGTGACATCAGCGAGCCTCCGCCTGTCCTGCTCAGACTTAACAGGACAAAATAAAGCCCACAGCATTCTTTCCCCAAACTGTGCTCCACTTCCTATTTCCTCCTGATGCCTACCCAAGTGTATCCTAAAATCTCCCTGCCGTGTAATCAGCTTCCTCCTGCCTCCGGATTCTCTCAGGGAGGCAGGAGTCTAATCTTTGGCTCATGGACGTTAACAACGGAATCACAAGACAAATGGGAGTGGAGGAGAGGGAAGAAGCAGCACCTTAAGACAATGGCTGCGCAGGGCAGTCTGACCTCCAGCAACCAGAAAGAAGTCAGATACGGAAGAGCTGTGTCTGACAGATCTTGGGAAAGCAGTCTAAGTTTCCTGAATGAAGCAGGAACGAGCCTAGCCATGCAAGGCAAACCAAAAGTCAGGAAATCTCTATTTGCAGTCCCAGAGGGTTCACTTTCTTGAGTGACAGGTGCACCAGAATCAGGCTCTCATGAAGCCTGGAAAATCTGTTTTACAAAGAACACCCGCATTTTATACACACTACCCTTATTCCAACTATGAAACCTCATGTACAGGTTTCATACTTGACTTAATTGGCTAGGGCACAACGGTGGCGTGGAGAACATCTTGCAAAAAAGACTCTAGCCAAGACCATTAGGCTCTGTCCTGCACAGGCCGTCACTGCTAGGAAGCCATTTCCACCAGCAAAGAATGCGAAGACCATGATAATTGGGGCACACTTGAAGGTCAAAAGACTTCAAGCTTTATAACAGCAGAGACACTTAATTTAGAACCACATATACACAACTCTGACAGCTGCGGAAACATCTCTGAACCAAATGACAGCAAGTTAAGTGGAGAATGAATGAAAGGACAATGACGAGAAGGTGGGGACCACACAACCTAGAAACGAAACCCATGCACTGGCTGGTACCGCAAGTTTGTGTAACAGCAGCGCCGACCTCTTGTGGGAAAAGGTCATCGCTGATGACCACGGGCTTCGGGAGAGCGACGGGCACTCTACTTCAGAGGGAGCTGTGATAATCAAGAAGGACCCCTTTATGAACCTCATTTAACGTTCCACTTAGTCCAAAATGGTTCCAAAGTGAAATATTTCTTACCCCGGGGATTAACTGCTCTGCTGGTCCAGGGTCTAGGCCTGGGTGAGTTCAGTCTTGGATGCACGCCTGATGCCGGCTGTGTCAGGGGCCCAGCATCTGCCTTTGTTCCAAGGTCCAATGTGTTGCCAACACTAAAGGCAGAGGCTGAGCCATCAGACCTCGCAGGTTGGGGCTTTTTGTATAAAAGGCTGCCTGGGCCCCACGCTCACGCCATGGCTCTGTGGGGAGGGCTGCTCGGCCAGGCTCCTACCTGTGGATGAAGTTTTTCTTCTCCAGGTACTCCATGGCCGACGAGATCTGAGTGGCCATGTACAGCAGCACCACGGCATTCACCTCCTGCCGGTTACACTCTCTCAGGTAATCCAACAGGTTCCCATAGGTCATGAACTCAGTGATTATATAGAACGGGGGCTCCCGGGTGCAGACTCCTGCCAACAAGACATCGAGGGCTTCAGCGTGCTGTCTGCTCCCAACTAAACACCAGCAAGGTTGGGCCCTAAGGGAACCGGCTCCTGAAGTGGGTTCTGACTCCGCCCCAACTTCTAACAGGGTTCCAAGCACTTGTGGCTTGAGATTACATTCTTGTGGGAGGTTACACAGCCACACTCTTTTCTTCCTCTCAAGCCAGAGAATAACAGAAGAGGCTGCCACTGAGTTCAGAAGCAAAGGTCAGGCCCACATCAAACACCCCACATCCCTGCTCCTTCATACACACACCACCCCGTTATCTGCTTACGGAATCACTTCAGTGAAGAAACACTTGAAATTCTTAAGTTTCAGGAGCCAATTTGAGATCTGCCTTGACTGATTTCAGGTAACAATTTAATATCTTGTTACCAAGGGCTGAATGTTGGTGTATAACAGATCAGAAATCATAACATAGCGGGCCACTCATCTCTGCACCCCCAGAGCAGCTCTATCACCCCAGATGGTTGAATTAAAAGACCATCTCCTCAGAGCTCCAAACACTCACCAAGTAATTGTACTAGGTTAGGGTGCTTGATCTCTTTCATCACCGCAGCTTCCTTCAGGAACTCTTCTACCTCCATGGTGTCCTCCTGCAGGAAGGAACGGGGAGATGATTTCAGCAAGGGAAGTGTGTGAGTGCGAAGTACAGCTTGAATGGTTAACACACACCAAAGCTTTGAGAACCAACTGTCTGGTCCACCAGCTTTGACTGTAGCATTGCTCTGGACAGGTTCCACAGCAGCCAGTCACAGTCCCAATGGCACAAGGAATTTTCCCCTTTGGTGCTGAGCTTCTGCATCCTCACACAGAGCAGTAAGTCCACGTTGGCTGTATACATTGGCAACTCGCTTCTGTGCAAACTGTGTTTCTATCACATTGTGGACTTTGGGAGTGGGGTGGGGGAGATGAGTACAGGCCAACACCACGAACAGGGAACTACTTCCATAAGGAACAGCCAGTTTCCAAGGTTCTAAAAGGCTTTACAGAAGAAAATCCTTGAAGAACCTGAAATGAACCCAACTTAAGGGAAAGGACCCAGAAGACACAAAAAAATACTGTGCTACTGAAGAATGAGGGCTCGAAATATGGCAGAAGCAGGGGATGCTGAATTGCTTCAGAGTGCAGTGTCCGGCGGCCCGTAATGAAGCCATCACCGCCACCAGGTCAGTCACTCAGATGGTGAAATAGCCCTCACCAGCAGCTCCCCAAACGCGTCACCAGAACATGTCACGCTTTAGCAAGTTCAGTGTCAGATGTTAGTCAGCAAATGCCCAGAGGGCATGTGGTACCATTTCTACTTTGCGATTTCTCTGGCCAGGCTCATGCTGGGAGTGCTGTGGTGCCTGGCCCCCTGGTGGCCCCACCACACAAGAGCCTTACTATGGCTTATGCGGCATAAACCTCTGAAAGAACTCACTGTCCTCTGCAGTGACCACCAAAACAAGAAGCAGGTGGGTGGTAAATGACATGGCCTGTTTGCTGGAAGAGCCCGGCTGTATAGGCCAACAAGGGAAACAAGACACTGCCCCTCCGCGTGTCAACACGGAGTCTGAGCATGTCTGAAGAGATGGACTGTGTGTGGGCGGGGGTGAGCTTCTTGAAGAATGGACTCCCTCAGGAGGCAAGCTTTAGCACCTTTATTTTAGACATGGAACCTTAGACACTGAACCTGGCCCTTTGGAGGACACAGAGCTGCAGTGTCCTTGCCGTGCTACTCACTGGGGTGACCCCCTTCCCAGCCCTGCCCATGGGGACCTCCGGAGGACAGGTCAACCTTTACTCGGTGCTTTCTTGCTTTGGCCAACTGTGTTTACAAGCGAAGCATGACCAGTGAGGATGTATGTGTCAGTCCATTATCATTTAGCTTAGGGCTCCATGAGACTGAAACCTAGAGACAATTTATTGCCCTTTAAAAATGAAGAGCTGCTCTTAATGTCAATTAAACGTCGTTCGTAGTCTCTGTGTCAAGCTGTATCGGGGAAAGAACTCATCCCCGTCACCACCCCACTGGCTGTTTAATCCTTCTGCGTCCTCTCTGCTTCTTAGCATGCTCATCAGATGCCATTTGGGGCGTGCAATGCTCCAATTTACCAGGTGACACGCTAATGTCAAAGGCTGGAGAGTGAATGCCTGCCAGAATCCGGGGATCGATGCTGCTCACGTAAGGACCAGGGGCTTGAAGAATCTTGCCTGGCCAACAGTATGTTCAAAAGTAGTTCTCAAATGAAGCTTTCTGGATAAGCAGAGTTAATCATTTCAAAGCCCCACATCATAAACCATGCACAGTGAAATCACTTCAGAAGTAACATTTGCTCTTACAGCTACTCTTTTCTAAAAGTACCACGATTGAGATCTAGAGAGGCATGGACACGTGGAAGGAACGATACAGCTTTCAAGGGGACCCTCTTCTTTTTTTGTATGTCTGTCTGTCTCTCTCCATTCACACCCATATGCATGCACATGTGTGCACAGTATAAAGAATTCCTTGTTTTTCATTTCTTTAGGACAATCGGTGTGAACTTGTCTCCCCCTGCTGGAATCAGATGTGGTTCGATTTATAATTTAACAGCCTCCTACACCTGTAGCTGTGTTAAATGGGGCAACATCCCAGATACTATCCTGCTATATTTTCCTTTACTTTTATTCCAAAACTCTCCATCATCTTTTTGAAGAGAATGCTTCCATTTACACAGCAGAAGAAAAACTAACTCAGACTAAGGGTGAAAGCAACACTTTGAGTAAAAGCCATGAACTTCAGCCTCTGTGAGGGAGGGAGATGGGTCAGCTGTCCCCCTTCACAAGGCCTGGCTGGCACGGCCCCGATGCGGATGAGCAGGGCTGGGGCAGCGGAGGCGTTAGAGGATGGCTCCTGACACCAGCCAAGCCCTGCCGTGGTGCAGCCACAGTGAGTTACGTACATAACAGGTAATGTATGTTTTCTGAACTTCCATTTTCTCGTCTACAAACTGGACAGAAAAGCAGCATCTCCCTCATGCACAAAGAAAATCAAGCGAAGTGCCCAGAACGCAGCCGGCATTCACTCCATAGAGGTCGCTTTTATCAAGACAGCAGATCTCTGCTCCGGAGGCACAGGCCTCATGCACTGCTCGTAAAGAGACAGGCTGGCTTCCTAATGCACACGGTGCCTGTCTTCCTCGCAGACACGTTCTCCCACATGCAGCACCTCATAGGTACTCTCGAATCCGCTTCAACTTGGTGCTCGCTGGCCTCTCCCCCAAGCCTAGGTACCCTATGGTGTCACACAGCACCGTGCTCTGGAGGCCTCTGCCTCAGCAGGGGCCCCAGAGCAGGGCTCCCTCTACAGAAAGGTGTTTCCCTATCTGTTTCTGGTTCTGAACCAAATGTCAGGTGAGCAAGGTAACCGCCATAGTGCCGTACAGCCTTTCCCATCAGATGGTCAGCGATCGACGTGCTTAAAAGCAGACTGGAGACGGGCAGAGCACGGAGCCAGACTGAGGCAGTCGGTCCACGAAGCAGCGAGGGCACTCGAGGCTCCAGCGACAAGTCCACAAGACACAGCCACTCAGATGTACCCCCAGAACTCTGTCCCCAGATACTGCGGCTGTTGGGAGCTCACAGGCAGAAGGGAGCCTACCGCAAAGGCAGGCGCAACCGGGACAGGAGCTGAGCCGTGCGGCCTCTCTCCAAGCGTGCCCACCCTCCCCGCTCTGCTCCAGAGTTCATGCTGTCACAGAGCCCTTCGTTCTCTATTTCCAACGCTCTCCAATAAAATCAATTTCCTGGGAGGAGAGTAACAAAAATAAAAGACAAACCAAAACACATGGTGGTGGTGCACATAGGTAAACCGGTACTTCCTTCCTCAACACCACAGCACAGTGCCAACTGGTGCCAGCTCCTGGGCCTGGCAGTTCTGCTCTGAGGCACAGACCCACCAGGACACTCTCCCCATGTGCATCACAGAGAGCCCTGGGGTGCTGCTCGTGACAGCAAAGGGCTGGAAAGAACACCAGTGCCCATGAAGGCTGGTACAGATTAAATACATCCACACAAAACCAAGACAACCCTACGTGTATGGTAAGGGAGAGCCGCCAAGCACACCAGGTGGACCACAGAAAGGGCACAGTCCACAGCGTGCCCCACAAGGTTAATACAGGCACTCACGCGGACTCTTTCTGGAAAGACAGGAACACGGAGAGTGGACGATGCTATGTGCATACATTACCTATTTGAAAAACAGGCAAAGAACTGAGTACAATTTTAAGTCTTAACATTTTCCAGCAATGTTATTTTCTGCTATTTTAATGGTAGATTTGTCAGGTAGCTTGAGGGTCAATCTTAATTCCACAACTAGATCAACGATGGTCTTTTCTAAATTCTGCCACAGACTGTTTCAAAGGAAAAAACCTGACTCACAAGCCAACTTTTGGGTTACAGCTTATTGGCAACTCGGGCTCCGTGTGCCTGACGAGTTGGCTCTCAGGCACATCCTGCCTTTACTCGGATGGTGCCCAGGGAAGGGAGGCCTGCCTGAGCACTGTCTACTCAGACCAGCAGTTCCCCGCCAGCGGCCAGGTGCTGTGGTTCCCGTCTCCACCTGCACGCTCGCCCTAGGGCGCCAGCTTCCCACGTTCTCTGCCGGGCCCCTGCCCTGCAGTCCACACCCAGTGCTGTCCAGTGGAGCAGTATGGAGCCGGCCGTTAAGAGTAGGGCCTTGCGCCCACTGCTGGTTAAGAGGATCTGGCTCTGCCCTTCCGGGGGTCTAGCAATACAAACAGGAAGGACGGGGAGGCACGAGGAGACTGAGACTCAGGGGCCCAGGTGGGGTCGGGCAGGCTGAGGTGCTGGTAGGAAGCACAAGGCTGCAGCCTGTGTGGCTGTGCAAGGAGAGGGCAGGAGGGGAGCCAGCAGGCAGGGCTGTGGCTTATGGATGTTCTTCATGATGTGTAAGTAACAGTTTAAAGAAAGACCTGGGTTTGGAGCAGGATACCAGGTTTGTACCCTGGCCTTCCACTCCTGGCTGTGTAATGCCAGGCCACCTATGTCACCTACCTCTGCTTCGGTCCCTTCCACCTTGAAATGGTGGTAATATCTGTACCCTTCTCTTAAAACTGTTTAAAGGACTAAATGAGGTGCTATGTATAAAGCACTCAGAACTCTGCCAGACACATAGCAAGAGCTCAAAAAATATTAGCCATGACTGTCATGTAGAACCCAAAGTTCTCAGCTTCTATAGTGGAGATAAACGCCCCAAGTACTGACACTAACCTCATTTGATAAGCAGAAAACGTATCACAGAGATGCTTTTTTGTGCAGGGTGAGGTGGAAGGAGGGATAATTTATTTAGCACTTGATTAGTGCCGTGTTTTGTATTAAAATACCGCTAGAAAACAACATGCTCCCTTTTCCCTAATTAGCTACCACTGAGGGTGACAACTCACAGAAATCCATGCAACTAGATTCTGTAATGTTTTGTCAACTATGGGACCACAAGTTAATTGCTCTTGGGGAAAATCATTAAAGTTATAATCAAGTTTGATAATACACTGGAGAAGTATATCCTAAAAAGCACCCACTTTCAGATAGTTCTGATTCACTGGTAGAAGAAAACCACCACCGCCACCACCCCCAAGCTGCAGGAGGTCCCTCCTCCACACCCCCTTCTTCAGTCATTCAGAAAACAATGCCACAGCCTCACCTACTGGTCTGGGTTTTCTCTACCCTTCAAGTTGTGCAAATTCTCTTTTTAAAGTTTTCAAACAAGCCTTTCCTAGATTGATCTTGTGCTTGTTACTGTTTCATTTTTGTAAATCCTGGCAAATGTGCGGGTAAGCCTGGGCCTTTAACAGTTTCTCAAGCTGAGCAAGGCCCAGTTTCTCTGGGCCTGGTCTTTAATCGTGTGCCAAACTGAGACCCTGGAACGAATACACACACACACACACACACACA